CTTGGATTGGAGAGTGGGAATGAGTCTTGTGGGATACAAACAGACTTCATGAAACAGCCTGGTGGTTGGGAGTTTCCATCCTCTGGCTGAGGTAGGCCCTAAAGGCTTGTCGACAAGCCTTCACGAGGCAATCACAGGAACAAAATTGGCCATCCCATCGTTCAGCGAAGGGAGGTAGAGGGTTGTGGCACGATTTTAGCCAGCAGGTGGCCGGTGATGGAGGCTCCGGGAGCGCGGCGTCTGTGACAGGCAGATGCGGTGGCACGACACGCTTACAAAGGTCTGCGAGCGGCAAATTATCTTCCTCATCATCGTCATTGGCGTCATCTTCCATCGCCAGCTCGACGAACTTACGCGAAGGACGTTGGTGGACGTGCGCCTATAAAGGAAGCAACATTTTCTAGGTTATTCATCGCGGGAAGATTTAGATTATGTGAAGATTGCAGTCATCGAGATGCATTACCGACGACAACAAGGGGCATCGAAATTGACATCTATGACCGATTAAGCTTTCGTGGGTAGTCATAGACTTCAATTATATCCGTCATTAGGGAATCAGCGACGGTACTAAAACTACCGACTCTCTAGTTTAGCCGCTCGCCAAAGGGATACTATGATCAACTCATCACGTTCTCGCCCCTCTGTATCAAAAGTTCCTCGGCTTCATGACAATACTGCCGTATGACCTCTTCCCTTCTGAAGAAAAAAACAAGCAATGCATAACAAGGCACCCAGAAATGAAGGTTTTCCAATGGAAATTTACAAGTCCTGTCTAAACTGGCGTTCGGGCTCTGTGGCATAACTACCTAAGCGTGGGTGCGGGTAAGGTCGTTCCTGATGACCAGGGCTGGGAAATCCTCGTGTCCGTCTTCAAAAAGGGAGATAAAACACAATTCGGGAATGCCCGCACCTCAGACACTACTGACCTCGGGCGACTCCATTATGCTGGACTCGAAGACGAAATCCAGTCAAGCTGGCTATCAATTTGGCTTAGATGTGTGTGTGTGTGTGAGTTCGACCACCGTATTCGGTGAAGTCCGCCATTTGCCCGAGAGCAGGGACAGTGACAGGGGCCCATTATAGTGATAGCAGACGCGCCGCTGACTACTTCACTCTAAACCCTTTCCACTGCGTTTCAATGGTGACAAGGCTAGTCGAGATAACCGCGCAGGGAGGGAGCGTGGCCGCAGCCGTAAATACGGCCTTAACTTAATATAGTGACAGTAGACTTTGCGCCGGTACTACTGCACTGTCTATCCTCACT